CTGTAAAACAGCAATTATGCTGAGTCAGGCTTGATTTTTAATAATCTTTTCCTGTTGAATCAATAAATTAAATTAATTAAACCCCCCATCAGTGGGTCCCCCCAACATTACAAATACTTCTGATGCCACTGAAATATGTAAGAATGTAAAAACAATTTATAGTTCTCCATGTGTAAAGATACAGGACAAGTTAGAAGGCGGGTGGTTAGGGGAGTCGTCCTGAAACGGGAAGGTAGCTGGTTCAATCCCCCATCCAGCTGTCTCAGTTGTTGTGTCCTTGAGCAAGACACTTTCACCCCTAATGCCTCTGATGTGTCCCATCAGTTTATGAATGTGATTGGCACTGATTAGTCTCCACAGATGATTGTACATGTTATCTTTGTAGAGACCTAACAGAGTGCTGTGTGAATGGGTAAATGAGGACACAGATTGTAGTGTGAAGAGCTTTGAGTGTCCTGGATGGATAGAAAAGCACTATATAAGTGCAGTCCATTTACCATTTAAGTTTTCCATTTTATTTTTAACTCAATCCAATGGTGGAGTACGAAAATGTACAATTACATTTAAAACAGGCAGTGGGACACAAATTTCAAACAAACAAACAAAAAGACCTAAGTTTACAGATTATAACAGCTCAACCTGAAACCCTAAACTCAGCCAGTAGAACATGCTCTGCAGGAAAATAGAGATTTAATTCAAGAATGCAGCAAACACCAATTTATACTTGAAGGGGATTTAAACTAATACTRATATTGAAGCCAGAATTCTAATTCATAAAGGTACCTAACCTCAAACTCCTCATCCATAAAAAGCTGTGAAAAAGCAGAAAGAAGCTTTTTTGATTGAATTCATCTCATAGTTGTGTACCAGCTCCTTTAATGAACATGTTTGGATGAAGGAAACAATGCCATTCTTGCAAATTGCTCTGGTAGTGAGCCTGGTTCCTGCAACAATCTGGTGCCGATTTACAACTGGAACAGAACTAAGTGAGATGACATCATCCCCAGGTTTGAGCTCTGAATAAACAAAAAGCAGCCTTAGTCTGTTTTTCCCTGTAACTGTTGAGCAAATCTAGGGRGAACTTTGAAAATACTCATGCTTCTCCAGTACCTGCTTTGTTTTGCCTCTGATGGACTGGTAACCTGTCCATGGTGGACACTGAGCAYCAGCTCCATGAAACCATTAAGGAAAAGGCAGGTGAACTGTTCTGCCATGTTAAAAACACATTACTTGTTTCTTTCTTTCACACATCAGCTTTCAGCACAGAAAGACAACTAATCCATTCTGACCAGTGCAACAACTGAGGCATTAAACTCTGCATTGCTCAGACACTGGCAGTACCAAAACGTCTCCAGTTGGACCTGCAGCTGGACTTCCTGCCGGAGGTGTTTCTGTATTTCTGGTTAAGAGTCAACACTTGTCTCCTTGTTCTCACAGATGAAAGCCACAGAGCTGTTCAGCAGGTCATACATGTTCACYTCCAACACTCCCCCCGATGACTGGCCCTCTCCTTCACCTGCAAGAGTCACTAGTACATGTGGGCCGGCTCCCAGCGGGGTTCCCTCCTTAGGAAGGATGTTGAGCTCAGCTCCGTCTTCGCTGGCCTCCACAGAATCTGAAGAAATCACCTGATTGAACAAAAAGCTGTGTATTAGATGATGTACTCTCTRAAACTTAATATTTTGGTGTTCATTYTGAAACGGATCTTAACAAAACAAAAAACCAGAGAGTTTACTTCAATAATCTGATCCTGACTTCATTAAAATTACAAAGCAACACTGAATGAAACATCACCTAATGTTAAAATGTAAAATAAATAAAATGTGAAATGCTCAAGCTAATCAACTAGCTGAATRCTAAAGTGAGAAAAGATGCTTGATATGAGGGTTATTAAATATTTGAAAACTTGCCACAGTATTGTCAAAGCAACAACAGCTTTGCCTCGTCTCCCTTTGCTACAGCTGTCCCAACTGCAGCACAACTGAGCTTTTCCCACACAGCTGGTTTGAATTAAACAGGAAGGTTTATTTTGAGCCAGCCATGGTTTGTTTGGTGCAGAGTATTTCAGAAAGCATCTTTCTGTTTCTTTTCTGTTGTGGCTGTTAAATAATGCTGTTAAATAAAACGCTCGCCCCTCTGGAAGTGATGATCAAGGATCACTGTACCACTGGCAGTATGCTTCAGCTCATTGCTCATTTGGAAGACCCATTTGCACCCAAGCTTTAACTTCCTGGTGTGAATCAGGGCCCCAATGATACCAACACAAAGAGGGAGAGAGGGCCAAAAACAAGGGGATGTTGAACCC